GGAGGAGCAGGACAGTGCCCAGGAGAAGTGGGACAGTGCCCGGGAGGAGCCAGAGCCGGGACAGTGCCCGGGAAGAGCAGGACAGTGCCCGGGACGAGCAGGGCAGTGCCCGGGAGGAGCAGGACAGTGCCTGGGAGGAGCGGGACAGTGCCCGGGAGAAGCGGGACAGTGCCCAGGAGGGGCCAGAGCCAGGACAGTGCCCGAGAGGAGCGGGACAGTGCCCAGGAGGAGCCAGGACAGTGCCCAGGAGGAGCAGAGGAGTGCCCAGGAGGGGCCAGAGCCAGGACAGTGCCCGGGAGGAGCAGGGCAGTGCCCAGGAGGGGCCAGAGCCGGGACAGTGCCCAGGAGGAGCAGAGGAGTGCCCGGGAGGGGCCAGGACAGTGCCCAGGTCCCTCCTTGCTTTGCTCCTCAAAACACCCTTTGCTTCTTGAGCCCCTGCAGATCAAAGGACGAGGGCAGGGGAGAAAGCAGGGCAAGGCAAAGGCATTTTCCCAGATTTTCTCATCCAGGGGAGGAGCAGGGCAGTGCCCAGGAGGAGGCAGACCCGGGACAGTGCCCAGGAGGAGCGGGACGGGTGTGCCCAGGGAAAGGTTCCCTCCAGATGGGAACGGGAAGGCAGGAGCCGCTCCTGGCCGCCTTCCAGGCAGGAAGGTGAAGAGAAGGGCAGCCATGGCTTWAAAAAGCTGCTCTCCCTCGCCTGTGCTCCGCCGAGGAGCGGGGGAGGGATCCCCCCCMTCCTGGTGGGGCTGATTTAACAGGAACCAGATGGGGCCGGCGCTGCGGGGAGCGGTGCGGGCGGGATTCCTGCATCTATGGGATGTGATTCCTGTACCCATGGGGTCATCCCTGGGGTGTGGGGTGGGGATTCCTGCATCTATGGGGTGTGGGGTGGGATTCCTACATCTATGGGGTGTAGGGTGGGATTCCTGCATCCATGGGGTGTGGGATGGGATTCCTGCATCCATAGGGTGTGGGATTCCTGTATCCATGGGATGTGGGATGGTATTCCTGCATCCATAGGGTATGGGCACAGGGGATTCGTGCATCCCTGGGGGCAGGGGGGGATTTCTTCATCCATAGAGTGCAGGGAGAGATTCCCACATTCCTGGGGTGGGCAGCCTGGCATCTGCCAGGAAAAGGGGGATCTATTCCTAGAGGGTTTCTGTGCCCTAAATCCTGAACTCCTCGGGGCAGGGGTGGATCCCTCCCCCTGTCCAGCCTCACCCCAATCCCAGCCAGGATSTGCTGCTCCCATTCCTGCCAGCTGCCAGCCGGGTTTGATCCAGGCTCTGATCCCAGCTCACCRTGGATGCAGGAAAAGGGAAAATCGAGTTTTATGGAGCAGTTTAACTTGGTTTTACCCTGCTTTTGGTACCCACWGACCATCCCACCCTCACCCATCCTCAATCTCCTCCGTGGAATCTCCTCTCGGGCCAGCCGGGCAAGGAGCAGCAAYGAGTAGGGGAAAAATGATGTAAACAGAAATATTTTTTCCCCCTGGATGATGCTGGGGATGTTTCCTCCAGCCCAGCACAATGGTTCCCATTCATCCGCCCTGGTGCTGGGAATGCTGGCCTTGTTTGGATCTGTTGTGCCCGCAGATTGTTTCCTGTCCAGCTTTGCTCACACAGACAGCACAAGAGGCTTCGGGGCTGACAGGCAGACTCGGAAAATATTATTCCATGGGACAGCCTGTGCCTCCCACGCTGCGTCTCTCAGGCTGGGGAAAGAGAGAGGGG